CTGATGCTGATGATTAACAACCAGTTACCAAGGACAATTTTATTTAATAATAAAATTTATATTTCAAGTACTAATTGCACAATCGCATGTAGTGTTTCCTGATAAAAGAAAAAATCACAATTTTTTTTTATAATTATTACCTCAAGAATTATGCAAATTTGCATAATAATTTGTAGAATTTTTTTTTTTATGTTTAATAAGCTTTATCAATTTATAAAAAATTATTTTTTTTGTTTTAGTAAATATGATTTATCTGGAGCTTTAATTTATTCCAATTAAAAAATTATAATTTAAAAAATTCACTTAAAATTTTGTTTACCAGATTAAAAATACATAAATTTTTAAAAATAATTTTCATAAGCAAAAATTTTTATCCCAAGCTCCAAAATAATTTTTTTTTTATTTTTGCTCCATCCTATAATAAATCACAAATTTTTTTTATAGTGTAAATTATTACTTGCAATAAATAAAGTTTTAAATAAATGTTTTATATTAATAAAAATAATCCATACTTTTTCCAATAAACTAATTATTTATTTACATATCAAAATAAATTAATAAAAATTGCAATGTTGTTTTAAAGTCGACTAAAATCGAGTTCAAAGATTACATACATAATTACAAGTGAAGCTAATAAAATCGCGTTAAAAAGGTAAACTATTAATAAAGTTTATAATTTGCACAAAATAAAAATTATTTGAATCAAATAAATAATTTTGACAAACTTCATCTTCTTGATTTAAGTAGAAAAATTCAAAAACTAAGAAATATTTCTTGATTCAAGGCAATCAAACTTCAAAATTATTTTCTTAGTTAAAAATTTTTTTTCTTAATTAAAATTAACTTTTTTTTCAGTGTACAAGCTAATTATTATCTATATTATTAAGAGAATAAGCAAAATTTTGTGGCCTGTGTATTTATCAAGAAAAGTCTTGACCTGGATTTGTGCCTTTTCATGGTTTCATATCATTCTCACCAATAGTCAATTTATGATGATGAGTATTTAGGCTGCATTCAAAAATTCTCTATCTTTAGATACATAATTAAGAAATGACCTAGTATCTCGTGAACTACTGACATTTTTAAAGAGATAAGCTCATTACGATGTTATACTCATCGAGACCTTTCATTTGAGTACCCACATCAATTTTTCATATATTTTATATATCTATATATATGTATATATAAAAAAAATATGAAAATGCATGTGGGTACTCAAATGAAAGCTCTTGATGAGTGTAACATCGAGATGAGCTTATATTTAAAAAAAAATCAATATTTAAGAAAGTACAGTGCAATTTAACAAAAGTCATTATTTAATAAAGCAAAATTTTATTTATATATAGTTTATAAATCACGGCAGTCACATATAGTGACTGCGAGGTTGCTAGTTTATATTTAAAATTGCAAAATGATTGAGGATATTGAAATTTGATTTTTAATTTTAAGAGGGTTTATATATGCTCGGTCAGAAAATCATTGACTCGAGAGCATTGTTATTAACCCAAAGCATTCATCTATAAATTATTCTATGGATTAAAGGATTATGATAATTAATATACGCTGTTATTATCATTATAATATTATGTTATCATAATTATTATCCCATGAAAATTAATTGCTTGTTCATTTTTTATAATTATGATTTACAATTGTTTGTTAAATAGATATACATCTCGATAATAATTTTTTTTTAATTACTCTTATTGTTTTAAACAAAAAAATTTTTTATCAAAGCGCGTTTTGAATTTTTGAAACTATTATATATTTAATTCTCATGTGAGCATGTCAGTACTAGTGTAGAGCTTACGTAAGAGAAACGATGGGATCAAGGCGAACCGGTGCAGCTACCACTGGCACAAATGTTACACACTCATATATATGTAATGTATAAAACATACATTAACATATATTGTATGTATAGATGTCCATGATTTTATATGAAGCTCTACACTAACTCGAGTATAAGTACGTACGCCGGAAATGCCGGTTTGGTTCTTTCTACTATACCCGGCATCAACCAGATCCAATCCTCGATCCCCTTCTATTCATTTTTTAATTTTAAACAAAATTTAATTCAGAACCAACAAGAACCCAAAAAACCCACATTTACAATCCTGGAACAATTTAACAATTATTAATCCATTTATTTAAAAAATATTTTTTTTTCCTTTTATTAAATCTAACTTAATATTTTTTTTTCTATATTAGAAAAATATATTTTTAACTAAATTCATTAATCTATATTATTAAGAGATTAAAAAAAATGTTGTGTCCATATGATTTATCTGAACATAATTATCTATCTCTAGATACATAATTAAGAAATGACCTTGTATCTTGTGAACTATTGACATTTTTTAAGATATAAGCTCATCCTGATGTTACACTCATCGAGACCTTTCATTAGAGTACCCACATCAATTTTCCATATATTTATATATATTATATATATGTATATATGAAAAATATATCAAAAATGCATGCGGATACTCAAATGAAAGCTCTTGATGAGTGTAACATCAGGATGAATTTATATCTTTAAAAATATCAATAATTAAGAAATGACCTTTTATCTTATGAACTATTGACATTTTTAAAGATATAAGCTCATCCCGATGTTACACTCATCAAGACCTTTCATTTGAGTACCCAAATCAATTTTTCATATATTTATATATATTATATATATGTATGTATGAAAAATTGATGTGGGTACTCAAATGAAAGCTCTCAATAAGGGTAACATTGGCATGAGCTTATATCTTTAAAAATGCCAATAGTTCAAAAAGTACAGCGCAATTTAACAAAAGTCATTATTTAATAAAGCAAGATTTTATTTATGTATAGTTCACAAGTCATGGCAAAAAGCGTATAAAATTTTCATATTTATAGTATTTAATAATTTATTAAAAATATGAGATATAAAATGTTTTTTTTAGAGTGAAAATTTTTTAATTTTCTGTTTATGAAATTTAACGTTTGTAAATTTTGACTCTAAAAATTACAAATTAATAAAATTCTTGAGTCTAATAAAAAGACATTCATAAATATCTAACTAAATTTTAAGTTAAAATTTTTTTTTTAATTATTTTATTCTAGGATTCAAACAAATATTTATTAATAATTTATGGATAAATAAGATTTTGTCAACAGTTAATAAATTGCAATTGATTATTTGTTAAAAATTAGTTATTAAGGCTTATTGAATATTAACAAATCCTTCTGAGTGCAATATCCAAAATTAAATAGTCTATTAGCTTTAGTTTAAATTCATAGCGTGTAATTTGTAGTTAGTAGTTTTAAGCTATCCACCATTTTGATCCACGCCTACACCCTGCAACTTTGTAAAGAAAACTCCGAACATATCTTAAATATTACACAACTTACATTTAATATTCCGAATAAGAAATACGGAGACTAATATTTGATAAAATAATACTCGGGGAATTAACGCTGATGGGGATTTAAATTAAACGGTAATTTTGATGACAATGAGGAGGATTATTCTGATCCCGGTCCTCTGATTGCTAAAACTCAACTCGCTTCTCTACTCTTCTCTTCTGTTTAGTTCCAAACTGCTGATTGGTTAACTGATCTTGGATTGCCGGATTGGATCTTCCTGACGAGTAAACACGGAAAATTCGACATCGCGCTTCAAGAATCCGAATAGGGTTATCTCAAAAATTTATCGGCAATTTAAAGCTGCTGAAGAAATCTATTTTACGCAGTAGCGTGTTTAATTGAGTGGAGTTTACTGAGAATTTGTATATATTGATAGGAAAATTAACTTTAAATTTATACGAAAATATTATTTTTAAAAACTTATTAATTTTGGGCTTTAAACTATAAAAAAAATTTTTTAGTTTAATTTATCTATTTAATTCAAAACTAGCAATCTTACAGTTACTATTTGATTGCCGTGATGCGATTAAATAATGACTTTTGTTAAATTGCACTGTATTTTCTTAAATAATAACACTTTTAAAGATATAATCTCATCTCGATGTTATATTCATCACGAGCTTTCATTTGAATACCCACATGCATTTTCATATATTTTTCATATATATGATATTTATGAAATATATAAATATATGAAAAATTGATGTGGGTACTCTAATGAAAGGTCTCGATGAGTGTAATGTCAGGTACCTAGTATCTTGTGAACTATTGACATTTTTAAAGATATAAGCTCATCCTGATGTTACACTCATCATGAGCTTTCATTTGAGTATCCACATCAATTTTTCATATATTTTATATATTTATATATTTCACAAATATCATATATATGAAATATATAAAAAATGTCATGTGGCTACTTAAATGAAAGGTCTCGATGAGTGTAACATCAAAATGAGTTTATATCTTAAAAAATTTCAATAATTAAGAAATGAACTTGTATTTTGTGAACTACTGATTTTTTTTAAAGATATAAGATCATCCCGATGTTACACTCATCAAGACCTTTCATTTGAGTACCCACATGCATTTTGATATATTTTTCATTTATACATATATGTAATATATATATATATATATATATAAATATATCAAAAATGCATGTGGGTACTCAAATGAAAGCTCTTGATGAGTGTAACATCGGGATGAGCTTATATCTTTGAAAACATCAATATCTAAGAAAGTACAGTGCAATTTAATAAAAGTCATTATAAAACAAAATTCTAATTATTTATAGTTCACAAATCACGAAAGTCACATAATGACTACAAAATTGCTTATATTTATAATTTTAATTGTAGTAATTATCTAGGATAAAAATTTTTAATATGAAATTTAAATTATCTCAGATGATAACTGCAATCATCTCTCAATAATTTCCATTATAAATATCTTTTTCCAGACCATAAAGTTTATACTAAAATTTCCAATTGTAAATTTAAAATCAAACAATAGAATACTATCTAACAACGTTTAAAACATTGATGTTGATAAAATAAAATTACCTATCATCAATATAAATATAAAAAAAAAATTTAATTCAATTCTCTCCTTTTTATTAAAAAAAAAAAAACCATAAAAATACTTACAATTCCCTATCAGTGCCCAACCTAACAGCAATATCCTGATACTCCTGCCTAGTCCTCGCCACCAACTCAGGACACCCAAGAGTATGCAGCTGACTAGCAGCAACCCTAGAAGCCAAAGTCTCTCCCGGCAGAGTAACAACCGGAGTGCCAGTCCAAAGAACATCCATACTCGTAGTATGCCCATTGCACAGCGGAGTATCCAAACAAACATCAGCCAACTGCCCACGCCTAACATGTTCCTCCTTAGCCGCAACATTACTAAACAAGATCCTCCCAGGAGCTAGTCCCAGTTGCTGAGCAGTAGCTTGTAAATTAGGCTCTCCGACCGCAGGGAACCTCAGCAACCATAGCACCGCGTTAGGAACGTGTTTCAGAATATACGCCCACATATGCAACGTAAGAGGATCAATCTTATAAAGCTGATTAAAGTTGCAATAAACAACTGCATCTTCAGGAAGTCCGTACTGTTGTCTCGTAGTAATGACAATATTCTGCGGGACCTCTTCACCAGTTGCAGTCTTGGTATTAACCGGAGTAGGCGCCATGCCATTCTGGACCACGACTCCATTAACAGACATCTGACACTGCCCAGAAGCGATCATGGTCTCAATAGGAGTCGTCGTAGGCAGTTCAGCGATCTTCATAGAAATTTCCACGGGCTTGGCTTTAGCATCAGCGACTACAATCTCACGGATCTCCTTTACCATAGTGTTCTCAATCATCGGTGACAAGTCAGTGGCGTTAATCACCGCGACATTATCAGCAAGCTTGCCCTTCATACTAAGCTTGTCGGTTAAAATCAACCTTTCTTTCAAATGCGGGAACATCTGCTTGTGATCTCCAATGAAATAAGTGTGTGGCATGTAAGCCAGCTTCTCGCTGTACTGACTGGCTAGCTCCACCGGAGAGGTGACTTCATCAGTGATAAGATAGTCCATGAAACTGGCCCCTGAAGTCCCGGGGTAGCCCAGCCACATCACTTGAATCGGAGCTGGACGAAGAGCAAAAATTTCATTCCTCGCTCCCTTGGTGTATCCGTTCATGTTAACCAAAATATGAATCCCGTCGTTGTTGATACGATCAGCAGCTTTGCCATTGCAAGGAATTTGTGATAAGTCAATAAAGTGTTCGGCTTCTCGAGCAATCTTGGACCTGAAATTAATTAATAATTGATATTTGTTTTATTGTTTATTAATTAGAACATGAATAAATTGATTTTGGATATTATGGGAATAAGTTTAGGTTGTTAGCCTGCCTTGATTCATTTAACATGATTTTAACAATTGATGTTTAATAATTGAGGCATGTGTTTTTGATGTCGCGTTACTAATGTCAAAAGGGCGTATAAAAAAAATTTTTTTCCTCCAACCAACCTAAAAATGTTTTTAACATTCAAATCTGTAAGTAAACATGATTAAAAAAATTTTTTTTTTGTATACGCCCTTTTGGCTCTAAGACAAAAAAAAATTTAAAGCCAAAAGGGCGTATCATTTTTTTTTAACCATAATTAATTATTAGCCTTAAAAAAAAAAAAGAAAAGTTATAACACCTATAGTTATCACAATAATGACTTTTCAACTCATTTTATTTAAAAAGAATATGGATTTGAATTAAAAAACAAACTAAAGTAATAGTAACATTCTATTTGAAAAAAAATGTATTTGACTCAATTACAAAATTTTCATTTCTATTGACCCAATAATCATGTCTCCACTGATGAAGTGTAATGAATTATGTCGACGGTTTAATTAGCAAATTGTCTAACTCCTTATTTTTTAGAGGGTAATTTTTTTAAATTTTGATGTAGATTAAAAAAAAATGATACGCCCTTTTGACTTTAAAATTTTTTTGTCTTAGAGCCAAAAAGGCGTATACAAAAAAAAAAAATTTTATTCACTTTTCTTACAGATCTGAATGTTAAAAACATTTTTAGATTGGTTGGAGGAAAAAAATTTTTTTTATACGCCCTCTTGGCATTAGTAACGTGATATATTCTTAGACTTAGTCATAAATTTAATTTTTAGTTGAGTTTATACTGTCCAAGTTATACTAATTTAAGATAATATTTTGTAATGTAATTATAAGAATATTATTGTAAAGTACTTTGTATTTAATTGTTCTAGCACCTGAGGAAGTCGGGAAACCGACGAAACGTTGTGAAAATTTAAATAAACATCGAATAAAAATATTTCCATCAAATTGTGAATTGTTATTTAATTGATTAATTATGGATATGTTCATATCCAACAAGACAATGAATTTATACCTGAAGTTGGTTCCATCATCAGTGCTGAGCGCGTAGCAGAAGATTTCAACGTTAGACTTCTCGTGGAGCCCCGGGATGGACTGCATGAGATGGCTGGTGGGATGGTTCCCGAAGTCGGAAGACACATACCCAATTTTGAGCCTGATTCCAGCCTCCCGGGGATACTTGTAGGGCTGCTTGTGGAGCACGTGGATCTTCTCGATGCAGAGGTTCGCGTGGCGAGCCGCTATGGCCTTGCGGAAGTCGTGGGACAGCGGGTAGAGCATGGAATGGTGAGGATGGACACTGGGCAGTCGGTTTTTGTCCAGTTGCTCGGCGACTATTGAGACCAGCTTCTTCATGCGGGCTTCGTAGTCTGTCCAGTCGCAGGCGATCTGGAGACAGTGCGCGAGGTTGCAGTACGCGTCGGGGAAGTCGGGCTTTAGTTTGAGAGCAGTTCTGTAGGACTGGATGGCTTCGGGGATGTTCCCGGAGTCTTTGTGGATAGAAGCGAGGTTAGAGTGTGCGTCTGCGAAGGCTGGGTTGATCTGGATCGCTCGGGTGTAGCATTGCAATGCGCCTTGGATGTCCTGCATTTCTTTCAGGGTGTTGCCCATGTTGGAGTATGCATCTGCGAAGGTCGGCTGGATTCGAATCGCTTCTTTGTAGTGCATTAGCGCTTCGTTTAGCTTTCCTTGTTGCTGAAGGACTGAGGCTAGGTTGCTGTGCGCTGCTGCGAATTCGGGAAATACTTCCAGGGCTTTCAAGTACAGGCGGGTTGCTTCTTCTATGTACCCTTGCTCGCGCTTTATGTTGGCCTGGAAGGTTTAGTGGATTAGATAAGTAAAGGGTATTTTTTATTTATTTATAAGATCATGGAATGGGGCATTTTTAGTTAGGGCTTTTTTGGTTTAAGGGTAGCTTACCAGATTATTAAGGGAGTCTGCGTGGGTGGGACACAAGCGCAGGGCTGTGTTGTAACATTCTTCCGCTTCAACCACTTGACCTTTCTCCTTGAGGGCGTTTGCAAGATTACAGTAGGCATCCGGGAAATTTGGTTGGAGCTCAATTGCTCGTCGGTAAGTATCAATCGCAAGATCAATGAGCCTGTTGAATTTTATTATGTTAATACAATTTTTTTAAATAATTTCAAGAATTTTTTAGGTGATTTTAAGAATTGTACACTAAAAAAAAAATTCTTGACTAAAGAGTAAATTTTTTTATCTCAAAAAAATATTAAGAAAGATTAAAAATTTCGTGAATGAAGCCAAAGTTTTATAAGCCAAGAAAATTTTTAGCAAAAAAAATTTCTTCTTGCTCCAAAATAACTTTTGTCTTTCCTAAAATTTTCTTGGCGCAAGAAGTTTGTTTTTTTTTTTGTGTACATACATTGAAAAGAAAAATTAGCTTTATTTATTTATTAATTTAAAAATTTTTAAGTTTGCAATAATTAATCAATTTTTTTTTAAATATACTTTTTTTAAGCTCTAGTAAGGTAAAACACCCAGTTATTGACACTGGCTTAATTATTGACACTTGCAATTTTATTTTAATTAAAAAAAAAAAAACAAATTAACTCTGATACATTAATAAATATAATTTTTGAATTATAAATTTTAAGATAATTGGTTTTTCGGGAACATTTTAGTTCTTTAATTAGAATAAAATTGCAAATCTCAAACAACTAGGCAAATGTCAATAACTGGGCTTTTTACTTTAATTTAAGATTTTTTTAATACACAAATAAAGCTACATTACAAAAATTAAATAAAAAAAAAATAAATTTTTTAAATCTAAGAGCGCATCCTTTAAATAATATTAAAGTAAATTTTGATGAAAAAAAATAATTAAATTTTCTCCTTTGTGAGTTCGTGATGTTAATAAATTTTTTTAGTTAATTATTTTTATGGTATTTTTTTAATGAGTTACATATGCACTTATTAAAGAGAAAAATTAGATTTTTCGTTGCAAGAATTTTATTTATTTATTTAAAAATTTTTATGGTTGTAAAAGTAAATTTAATTTAATTAGTTTTTTTATTTATAAACATAATAATTTTTTTTAGCTCTTGTAATTTAAAAATTAAAAAAATTCTGCTAATTTAAAATATTATCTAATAATTAATCAAAATTTTTTGGATTAAAAATTTTAGCTTTGAATATAAAAATGTAAAATATTTATCACAATTATTAATTATAAAAAAATTGTTTAAATACTTAACTAAATTTACATTACAAAAATTAAGTAAAAAAATTTTATTTTAAAAATTTTAAGTGCGTATAATCCTTTAAATAATATTAAAATCAATATTAATAAAAAAAAAACTATAAAAAATGATTAAATTTCCTTCTTTGTGATTAAGAAAAAAAAAAAGGTAATTATTTTTCCCCACCCTCTAAACACTAAAGATAAAAAAGTATTTACCCTTGTTCATAATAAACACAAGCGAGATTTCCATGGACAACAGCATTGTTGGGGCTTAGATTCAGCGCTCTCAGATATGCAGCAACAGCTCTGTAAAATAATAACGAGATTAGTCAACCTTTTAAATATTTACCACTCTAATAATAAAACATTAAAAAAAAAAAAATATATCACAATTTAAAATCAACGCACGCGAGTAAATTTAGTCGAGTGACATTTTTTTTTTTTATTTTATAACTCCAGAACTTTCTGGTTATAGCATAAAAGCACTAAAAGCTTCTGCGACCTCACTTTATCTCTATAAAATATCTTTGGCCTTTATCGAGACGTTTAAATGTAAAAATCCCCGAGGTTATTTTAAAATTCAAAAGGACAAGATGGGCTGAGTCAATAAGCGTCAAAGTATCAGTAGTTAAATTTTTTATCTGCCTTTATAGATAGCTAAAGAAGAAATAAAAATAAAAATAAAAAATTGAAGACGAGGGATAATTAATTGACAAGACTAGACACCTCTTAAGCCAGGACTTAATCCAGTCGATGCATCCGTTCGGTACAGTACTGGTGACAACGTTCTCCAGCTGGAGACGTATTGAGGGCGCGTCAGATGTCGAGGGAGAGATCACTGTGTAGACAATAACACATTGGTACTCCATATCTTATCCATCTCTAATTACTTATCATTATCACAATGTATTTTTATAATCCTCCTGATTATCTATTCCTATCGATTTCATTTTCATAAGCGCTTTATTTATATCCTTATCGACCTTTTTTTTTTCGTTATAAAAATAAAAACATTTACGGCCGGTTCCTTAGGAAACAACACCTTGTTATGATTATCAGTCTTCTATTATTTATTTATTTATTTTATTTTATTTTTTTTTAATTGATAAATAAATTATGTTGATATTTAGATGGCAGGAATTTTTTTACATTTTATATTTTGTTTTTATAGTTATTGAATTTTTCCATTTCCGTTCTACATTCTAGCCTTTTTATTTTGTTTAGGTTGTATTCTGGCTGATATACAAATAATAGCGAGATGTTTGATTGATATTTGTTGACACGCCTGTTTACAATAACACTCGCGTACTCTCTATTTCACTTTTTTTTTTTATTAATAAAATATCAGTATTTTTTTTTATTTATTATTATTACTTTTATTCAATAAAATATTATTTTACTAATAAATAACTTTTTATATCAATATTTAAATATTATTTTAGTTAAAAATTAATTCAATGATTAATAATTAAATGATTTTGATAAATTTTTTATTGAAAAAATCAAAAAAAAAATTAATAAATTATTTTTGACTATAAAAAAAATTTTTAATTGATAAAATTAAAAAAAAAAGTTTAAAAGAAATTCATAAATTATTTTTGACTCTAAAATTTTTATAAAAATTTTAACAAGAAAATTTTTCTATAATTGATTTGAAATTTATTTTTAAAAATTGAATAAGTAAAAAATACTTGATAATTGAAGAAGTAGACGGTAGTCAATATTGAATAGTAGATATAAAATTTTGAAGATAAATTTTTAAAGTTTAAATTTTTTTTTAGTTTATTAGTAATAGTAGTAGTAGTAATGATAATAATAGTTAAAACTGATAATTTAAGTTATAAGGTAACAGTTGATAGTTGTCTAATAGTAGAGAAATAGAGAAACGATGTGTTCGAGGGACTACGAACTAAACTACTGGCTTTGGTCGGTGTATCACAAGTTGAGATAGGGGTAGACTATGATTCTGATTGCTTTAGAGCCGGCGTCAGCGCCAGAGTCGGCGTCGGCGTCGAACGCACCACCTAATATATGATATTATACACAGTATTTGTTGTAGTACATTATCAATGTTATTTTTAATGTATACAATAACAAAACAAATAATAAATTATTTTTTAAAATAATTTTAAAAATTCTGACTTACGGATTTAAGCTATAATAAAATTGATAGATTTTTTTTTTTTTACAGAATTAAATTATCTTAAAATAAAAGTTTCTTATATTTTCAATATTTTAATATTTAAATATTTAAATATCTAAAATTCACGAATAAGTTCTATAATTTTATTTTTAAACTTTAAATTTAAAATTTAGAAAAAGCAAGAGAGCAAAATTGAGGACCTTTTTTGCAGGAAATAAAATTCTTTATAAAAAAGTTCTATGATTTTTTCGTATCTTTAATATTTAATCTAGAATTTTAAATTGAAAGTTAAAATTTCAAAACTTTTATAAACAAACTTAATAATAATAAAAATTTTAAAAAAATTTTTTTATCAATTAAATTTTTTTTTGTTAATATAAAGAATTTCTTTTTCGATAAATTAAATGAATTAACTTTAAAATATATGATGTTTTCGTATCTTTAATATTTAATCTAGAATTTTAAATTAAAAGTTAAAATTTCAAAACTTTAATAAACAAACTTAATAAAAATAAAAATAAAAGAAAAATTTTTTTATCAATTTAATTTTTTTTTGTCAGTATAAAGAATTTTTTTTTCGATAAACTAAATGAATTAATGTTAAATTATATGATATTTCCTTTTCTTTAATAATTAATCTAGAATTTGAAATTCAAAATTCAAAATTCAAAAGTTTAATAAACAAACTATTTTTAAAAAATAAAATAACAATAATAATAAAACGAGGTATCTCTAGAGAGGTAACTTTGACTTTTGCCCTATCACCTATCTCATTGTCTCCTGAGTCTGGTGATTTGTACTCAATTTCAGGAGACTTTAATACAAAGGCGGATAATAGTTTACTACTATGTATTTTATCCAGCAATAGCTTCTTTTAATTTTTTTTTTATTTCTTCAGACAAATATAATACTGATGAAGACTACATGATACTGGATACTGGATACTAGACAGAACATTACCCGTTCATTGCACTGTCTACTTTTTCTTATACGTTGTTTCTCTCTTAGTTGATAATATTTCACGGCGCCAGACTACTATTTACTTCTCCAGTACATAATTTTTATTTTATAGATTTTCTCGTTTTTTTATTAATAATAATTTTTAAAATTAGTAAATGTGAAAAAAAAAAATAAAATAGAATTTAATTTGAAATTTTTAAAATTAAAATAAATAAATAACAAATTTTAAAATAAAAAAATAAAAAATGAAAATAGTATTTTAGTATCGATTGACTGAAAGGCTAGAAAAGAGGAAAGAGAAGGACCTAGCAAACGCCCATTCAACATTAACTTGCTCATGCGCTATTTTATTTACTCATTTAGTTTATTGCGACAATAATCATTATAATTATTGCTATTGCAGATTGCTTGGACAGATAAATAGAATCGATATTGAATATAATTTTCCATCGGAATCAACTAATTGAATTTAAGTAGATAAATATTTTATTGAAATTTCCCGTCTGCTGATTATCCAAGTGCTTAAATAATTTCACTCTGCATTTAAGCTTCATTGAGTGGAAAAACACCCGTTTTTTTTTTGTTCAGATCATTAAATCACAAATCAGTTTTGTTTGGACAAAAAGAATTGATAAATAGATAAATATTGATCAAATGGTTGTGAAAGTAAAGTTATTTGGATAGTAGGTCTCTCGGGGAAGAAAAACAAGTTAATAAAAATTCATAAGCTGGTATTTCTATGCCTCTGTAAATACTTTGTATCTTGCAGTTTTTATATTAATAAATTTTAATATAAATTGCTAATAAATATTTTTTTACAATTTAAAAAAAAAAAGTGAATTTAATGAAAATATACTTTAGTAATATTTTAACTTTAATTCATTTAATTTATCGAAAAAGAAATTTTTTATATCAATTATGCTCATCAATTTTGCTCTATCTCTCTTGCTTTTTCTAAAATTTAAATTTAAAGTTTAAAAATGAAGTTATAGAACTTGTTCGTGAATTTTAAATATTAATTTTGTATATTCTGGCTAAAATATTGAAAATACAAAAAAAAATTATACGAAACTTTTTTTTTTAGACAATTTAATTCTCTAAAGAAAACTTTGCATCAATTTTATTGTAGCTTGAATTCTTTAGTGAGAATTTTTAAAATAAGGATTTGAATTTTTTAAATTATTTAAAAAAAGAATTTATCTATATTATTAAAAGAATAAGTAAAATTTTGTGTTCAGGATAGTCATATGATAAAATTGGTTTTTTTTAGTGAAATTTAGTGTTGTTGCAAAGGTCTTAACTTAAATTTGTATCTTTTCAAGGTTTTATATCACTCTCACTGATAGTAAATTTATTATAATAAGTATTTGGGCTGTATTCGAAAATGCTCTATCTCTAGATACATAATTAAGAAATTACCTTGTATCTTGTGAACTATTGACATTTTTAAAGATATAATCTCATCCCGATGTTACACTCATCAAGACCTTTCATTTGAGTACCCACATCAATTTTTCATAGAATGAGCTTATATCTTTAAAAAGATCAATAGTTAAGAAAATACAGTGCAATTTAACAAGCCATAATTTATAAAGCAAAATTTTATTTATTTATAGTTCACGAGTCACGGCAGTCACATAGTGAGTGCAAGGTTGCTAGTTATTATTACTGTATAAAACGGTAAATTCATAAAAATAAACACCACAATAATACTTTGGCACAAATATAACAATAACGTAGCATTTTATCGGTAATATTACATCACGAAAGTCATAAACGGTAGACAATAGTAATCCATAAATCAATAGATGATAACTCGGTACTTTTAAGTAGACAATAAAATGTTGTCAAAAAGATTTATCATATAAACAATAAAACGTGAGTTTAATAATAGCGTCATAAAAAATATATTGGAATGCCTGGAGCCATAATAATCGAGAATAATAGAACAAAACAGTGGCGGAATGTTTAATAATGCCCGATTAATTTTTAATACTTTTATTAAACGGTGAATAATTAAAAATAATGGGAAAATTCAAGCAATCATACGAATGAGTTAGATTGCGTCCCAACGGGGTTTTATTTTCCGGTGGCTGTATAGAACCGAGTTTTATATTTTTTTCACTTATTCTCCTTTATATGATCGTTTGGCCAACCGTGTGATGAAAAAAGGAATAAAAAAAGTTGAATCCGGTCTTTTATAGCGTCATACAGACAATGGCAATGATAAAAAGAATGATTTTCTAAAGCATACCTCTGAGCTTAGTTTCGGAAAATGGAAAAGAGACAAAATCGATTCTAATAAAAGGATTAAATAAAAGTACCCTAAAAGATGGAAAAAGTTTTGGGTGTGCTTAGACCTACCGTCTTATTCTCAGATTAAATTAAGAAAAAAAAAGACCACTAAGTTTTGTTAAATCTATTCCACGTAATGGACTGTTGCCTTCTAAGTAATAACTCTGAACCTTACCCGTACTTTTTTTATGAATGGGGCCGTGAATTCTCCAAGATTAAGTTGTAAAGTTTTATTAAAAGTATTTTACATATTTTTTGAATTATTTAAGATGAAATGTATGACTCGTGACTATCCACACCAGGTTTAAATCCCGGCCCAGAAATAACTGAGTCACTTTTATTTCGCACAAACTTTAAGACCGTCGTTTAGATTATTTTTTTCAACGACTGCCGATCAAATTGTGCGGGGAAATTTTTCCTCTTTATGATCAGGCTACTCGAAAAAGTAATAAAAATTTAATAAAAAAAAAAATCAAGTCAATCGCCCGAAAAGTTTGGGAGGGCGTTTCTTTAAAAATAAAATAATATTTTTACTAATTTTAAAATAAATTGTTCAAATTTTTAATATTACAGCGAAAATATTGGTCCTGTTAAAAAATTGTTCAAAATTTAATTTCATAAAAAAAATGTTTGATTTTTTTTAAAAATCAATATTTTCGCTGTAATTTATAAAATAAAATTCATAATAAAAAGTTAAAATTTTGTTTTATATTTATTAATCCTACTTTTGAAATTACGGTGAAATTATTGATCCTAAAAAAAAAAACAAGAATTTTTTTTATAAAATTAAATTTTAAAAAACTTTTTTCGAAGACTAATATTTTAATTACAATATCAAAAATTTAAACCATTAATTATAAATTGTTATTTTTAATTTACATTAATGAAGGAAAATTATGCAAATATCACACCTGGGTACAGTAAATACTACTTAGAATAACTTTAATAATAAATTACCTTCTGTAATTTTAAAATACAAAGAAGATTTTTATTGTAAATTTTAAAAGAAATAAAATAAAATGCTTGAATAAGTAAGACGTATTGAACTAGTTTATATCTTTCGTTCTGAGCTATCTAGTCCAAGATTTAAAGACTAAAACTGTACGAGTATAAAAATCTCAAGTATATTTTTTTTTATTTTTTTTACAAGTATTGTTTTTCTTTACCAGAGTTTTATTAAAAAATAATGAGCCGGAAACTGTAATAAATAAACTAATAACAAGATCGATACTTTCCGGGAGTTTGTTCAGTAAATTTAAAAAAAAAATCAAAAGTGATTTTTAAAGATCGTTAGTACCTTGAACAATCAAGGCCGATAATTACTATGCGGTTAGTTTGTGGCGAAAACTTTGGTCGTTAATTGTATTTGAGCTTGATAATTGGTTGCTAAGCGATTACTATGCACTTTGATATTATATCACGGAAATTAAACGTTCATAATTTTAATAATTTATTATCAAGTTAATAATTTGCTGGCAGAAATTATACTGTCAATATCAAATTAAAGACAAGTGGAAAAAATTAAAAGACTTTAGATTAAATCCTGTGAAATTGCTCCGGGATGCTCTTCAGAGCATATGAGCTTCTACGTCATTAGAATTTCAATTATCTAAGCTGAGATTCACAATTACTATTATAAAAAATTTTCTATTTATTTTTGAAGTAAATTTAATTGAAAAAAATAAAAAAAAAAAAAAAAGAAAGGTTCCTTGACAGCCGAATAAAATGTCAGGAAAAATAAATTTAGCGATAAAATATCGAAAATTCGTTCCAGTTAAATAGGTTTATTTTTATTTCTTCTCCTCGAATGGATATTAAATAATAAATCAGAGTGAAAGACGTGGGGATGAAAATGACGCGGAAAATAAGAAGTAAAAGAGGCCTTGAGGGTTACACTGGGAGTTTTAAGATCAATAAAAGGGTTCACGGAAGACTTTCGTTGCTTTCACACCCTTGAGATTACTCGATAAAAGCCAAAGAAATAAATGTCGAGATATTTCACGTCGATTTGCAATTTTAATTGTCAGGAAAATTTATTTCACTGATTGTTTTAATTCCAAATTGATAAATAAATTAGATTAAAAATTTTACAGCGATGATTTTTATCCAAAATAGGTTTTTTGAATATTCATTAGAACTTTAATCTAAAAAAAGAAAAAGTTTTAATTAACTATAAAGTTTTCTGGACATTCAAAAATTAAATTTTAAAGTTTTAAATTAAATTTAATCCTTTGAAAATAAATTTAGATGCAAAATGAAATCTATATTACTAAGAGAATAAGATAAATTTTGTTTCCAGGATAGTTATACAATAAAATCGTTTTTTTTTAGTGAAATGTAGTGTCATTGCAAAAGTCTTGACTTGAATTTGTGCTTTTTCAAGGTTTTATATAATTCTCGACGATAGTCAATTTATGATGATAAGTATTTAGACTGCCTTCGAAAATTCTATATTTCTAGATACGTAATTAAGAAATGACCTTGTATCTTGTGAAATATAGACATTTTTAAAGATATAAGCTCATCCCGATGTTATATTCATCAAGACCTTTCATTTGAGTACCCACATCAATTTTTCATATATTTTATATATTTATATATTTCACAAATATCATATATATATAAAATATATGAAAAATACAATGTGGGTATTTAAATGGAAGGTCTTGATGAGTGTAGCATCGAAATAAGTTTATATCTTAAAAAATGTCAATATTTAAGAAATGATCTTGTATTTTGTAAACTAATGACATTTTTAAAGATATAAGCTCACTCCGATTTTACACTCATCAAGACCTTTCATTTGAGTACCCACATCAATTTATCATATATTTATATATATTATATATATGTATATATGAAAAATATATCAAAAATGCAAGTGGGTACTGTAATGAAAGCTTTTGATAAATGTAACATCAGGATGAGCTTATACCTTTAAAAATATTAATAATTAAGAAATGACCTTGTATCTTGTCAACTACTGACATTTTTAAAGATATAAGCTCACCTTGACATTATACTCATCGAAACCTTTCATTTGAGTACCTACATCAATTTTTCACATATTTAATATATTTATATATATGTATATATGAAAAATATATGAAAATGCATGTGGGTACTCAAATGAAAGCTCTCGGTGAGTGTAACATCGGGATGAGCTTATATTTTTAAAAACGTCTATAGTTAAGAAAATACAATGCAATTTAACAAAAGACATTATTCAACAAAGCAAAAGTTTGATTTTTTATCGACTGCAAGTTTGCTAGTTGTAAATAAAATAAATAAAATATTAAAAACTTACCGATCAAAAATTCTGGCTTCTTTGAGGACATTCCCAAGATTAATGTAGGCATCGAGAAAATTAGGATCTAACGCCACTGCTTTTTCAAAGTGATGAATCGCCAGCCATATTTCACCTTGTGCATTGAAAACACAGCCTAAATTACTCCAGGCGACGGCAAAATCCGGACGAGTCTCAATAGCTTTCAGGTAACAAGCCTAGAGTCAAATAAAAGAGACAAAAATAATATAAAAAAGTAAATAAATAATCAACTTGTTTTAATTAAATTTCGCGCCGCGCGCTTCGCCCGTCTCTCTTTCTATTATACTTCAATTAACAACAACAATAATAATAATAATAACAATAATAATAATAAAACTAGTCATAATTATTATAAAATAATTCAAATTGCCGCGCTGCTGCTATTGCGAGTGTCCAGTCATCAGCAAGAAAGATTTATTTTTATAAAATTTTTATTAAAAATATCTAATAAGACTAATTAATATTAATTCTTTCTTTTATTGAATCAAGAACACGTCGCAATGTTTAAATTCTAAGCCAGGATCTTGTTGATGTCCTCCTAGATAAATAAATTCAATAATTTACATACTTCTAGTTTAAATTGAAAAAAAAAAATATCTCAAAGAATTTTTTAAATACTTCATCGTATTTTTTTTTTTTTAATTTAATTTTACAAGTCAAATAATTTTCGAATAATTCCTTGAGACTTGTTTTTTCAATAAATAATTAGTGTGTTGTTGTTAGCTAGTGTATGTATTAAATTCTAAGGATGCATTGGGTGTTTATGGATGTAATGAGCATAATAATGACTATGAATTAATGTAAGGACGCGCTAGGAGTGTCAGTTGTTGTTTTTTTTTTTGCTTTGCTTTGCTATAGAATTTCCTGAATGCGTCTGGTTAATTCTTTAGCAAATATTTATTAATAAAAAACTTTTTTATTCAGGACCTGTAATAATTTTAGGGATGCAAAAAATTGTCCAAAAAAAAAAAGGTAGAAAAAAAATAAAAATAAATAAAAAATATTACGCGCATTGCGAGAGGCGGGCTTGCATAAATACACTGTATTAAATTCCGTACCTAAAGAAGAATAAATAAAAAAGGGGATTGCGGTTTGGCCGATCTCAAGGGAGAATTGGATTTAAATAAAATTTTTTTTTTTTTTAACTTGAGTAAATATTTTATAAAGGATTTTTTAAAAAAAACTACTTGTTAGATTGAGAGCTAAATTAAAAGTTGGAATTGGAGAAAAATATAAAAGAGTTGGAGTTACAAATTGGAAATAAAAGGATTGATGGTGATCTGATAGGTATTCTGATGGAAGTGGATAGAGATCGGCCTTGGGATCTACATTACCTTTGGTATACCCTTTGGTAGGTTGACGGTAGGTATGGGTCGCAAGCTCTCTCATACACTAAACGTATAGACACTCTGAGGAGAGACACATTGAGTATGAGTGTGCGTTACTGAACGAACCGGACTCTCGTTCATGAGATTTCACCCTTTGATGTAGCAAACAGTATGGGCTGATACCGATTGAATAGATCCGACTTCCTCTCCTAAAGTTGATAATCCCGTCAACAACAAGACAGCTGCGTTAATGTCTCTTCAATACACTCTCTCTCCCCTCTTCCCTCTTCTCAACCCCTTATTACTATTTTTTTTATCACTTACACTATTCATTTTTTCTTTTTTATTTTTTTATTTTATTTATTTCATTTATTTTATTTGATTATTTCTCAGTGAAATTTTTTTTTTTTTAAATAAAACTTTTTTTTCCAACTGATGGCTGTTTTCTATGGAAATTTATTTTAAAATAATAAAAAAGATAAAATTATATTAATCCATTAAAAGTTCTTAAGAATCGTTTATATGGTAATTTAAATGCAAATAACTTTCTTTTTTTTTTCGTTCGCGCGTATTTTGCATAAATTTATTTACAAATTAAAATATTTATTCATTTAATTTATCTTGTTATTTTAAACTAATTAATTTAATTATTTTTATTTTTATTTTTATTAAAATGATTTAATTAAATTTTGTAAATATATTTTTTTTATCCGCCAGCGCCGCGCAGTTAAGCAGAGTACTTGGTTTTTTTTTAATTCTAAACAATTTTATTCATAAATTACAATGATTTATTTAAATTTTCATAACTAGCAACCTTGGAGTCACTATGTGACTGCCGTGACTTGTGAATTATAAACAAATAAAATTTTGCTTTATTAAATAATGACTTTTGTTAAATTGCACTGTATTTTGTTAAATATTGATGTTTTTAAAGATATAAGCTCATCCCGATGTTACACTCATCAAGAGCTTTCATTTGAGTACCCACATGCATTTTTGATATATTTTTCATATATATATATATATGAAAAATTGATGTGGGTACTCAAATGAAAGGTCTTAATGAATGCCATGTCGAAGTGAACTTGTATCTTTAAAAATGTCAATAGTTCACAAGATATTTGTTAAAATGCCTTGTACTTTCTTAGCTATTGACGTTTTTAAAGATATAAGCTCATCTCGATGTTACACACATCAAGAGCTTTCATTTGAGTACCCACACCAATTTTTCATATATTT